CCCTGAGCCGGTGGGATTTGAACCGCTGAACTGCTGATCTAGCAGTAGCCTGCAGTGCTGCATTTAACCACTGCGCCACCTTGGCAAGTCTAGTGAAGAGAAGGACCAAGGGCAACATGATAGCAGTCTTCCAATATTTGAGGGGCTGCCACAGAGAGGATCGGGTCAACCTATTTTCCAAAGCACCCGAAGGCCAGACAAGGAACAATGGATGGAAACTGATCAAGGAGAGATTTAATTGAGAAATGAGGAGAAATTATCTGACAGTGAGAACAATCAGTAGTGTGCCTTCAGAAGTTGTGGTTGCTTCAACACTGGAGGGGCTTTGAAGAAGAGACTGGACAGCCACTTGTCAGAAATGGTACAATGTCTCCTGCATGAGCAGGCAGTTGGTCTAGAAGTTCTACAAGGTCTCTTCCAATTCTGTTGTTCTATAGACAAGGAAAGGGGCCTATATAAACAGAAGCTTCACAGTATAGTCTGGGTATGGGAAAATCCTTGCCAACATTGGCCTTCATATGTATCAACTGTACTTTAGACCTATCAATAGGTGGAGGGCTCGGTCTTTTGAGGACTAAGCCTTGCCAATTTGATGGGGTTTCATGGCGATGTGAAATCTTCTGCATGGTAGGAAATGCACAATGTCCCTTTGTCATTAGATTATCACTTCTTGTTCCCAGTTGGACATGACCATTTAGATGGTGACCAATAAGAGGCATCTACATATAATTCTAATGAACTAGTGAGTTCCAGCAGGTGCTTCTGGCTTCCTCAAGATCTTGCCAACTGAATAGAGGCTTCAACTGGGAGCAGGAAAACAAGACTTACTGTATTTTTCAGAGTATAAGATGCACCTTCCCCCCCCCTAAAAAGAGCATGGAAACATTGGTGCGTCTTATACACCAAATGCAGCCATTTCTGGCCTCCCGAAGCCCCACCTCCACCTCCCATTTTTGTGAAAAACAGGGCATTTTTCGCAAAAACTCAGGCGTTTTTGCCTTCCTNCTTAATTTCTGTTACATTCTTGTTTGAGAAATATTTACTTTTGTTGTTTCTCTCTCTCCCCCCCCCCTCTTTCTCTCTCTCTCATGCATACACCTGTGTTCGGTTATCACATATCTTTGTTGTTACCTAAGGCTTCCTTTCTTCATTGTTTTCCTGGATACCGTAGTGTTTTTTCTGAAAGTCACCTGAATTTTTTCGTGTGAAATTTTGCATTTTTTTCCTTGCTGGTGTCTCTTCTTTTTTAAACAAACAAAGAAACAAAATATTGTGATTGGGTGTTCTCCAGGTCAAATATAGACTTTTTAAAAAAATTCTATACATTTAGCCTGCACAGTTGACACCAGTAATTCATAAACTGTTTTACAATCTCAGCTGGAAGGGTTCTAGCTGCCTGGATTGCATTATTCCAGGCTCTGTTTCTATTACGTAGCCAATTCATTGGCCAAACTTTCATTATGTCCACCTTCTACAACACTGTGGATTTCTTTAGTTTCCCCTTATCCTTATCACTACTATTAATCTTTATTTTCATTCATCTGGAAATCTAAAGATTTTCTTACAATTTTGTTATGCTGCATCTCAGATTGAAAAATCCTTGAGGACTTCTAATGTATTGTTCTGAAGTGCAGTAAATTGGAAAAGACAGTGGGGGAAATGATAAATAGAATTTTGGCATTATAACAGTGTGCTGTATCTATGAAGGAAGAGAAAAGGAAGTGACCAATACACTCTAAACCAGCCTAAGGACCACATAGGGCCATCTTAATCCCAGCATTTTGAAGAATGAGATTATACAATAGTTAAAAGAACAACATTCAATAGTTTGAAATCAGAACTCATTATTTGCCAGATTTCTTTCTGACTTCTTGTACAATAAGTGTTTCTTTTTTAAACAATGAAATTATTTGGTTTAATAGTTAATTGGCTTACTCAAATATCCCTTAATATTCTCTCACCCTGTCTGTTCATTTCCCTTCTGTTTCACAAGGGAGTACATATATTCTACTTTTCATAAGGGATTACATGTATTCCACTTTTTAATGCTTATGAATGGTTCACTAGTCTGCTATTTCAAAATGTAGCATCCTATTTCATAATTCAACTGTCCTACAAATACCACATCATTTGAAAGTCCTGCATCAGATATTCATGAAATGTGATTTAACAGTATTCTATTTTTTCTATAAATTTTATCTTACAAATAACAGAAATAAAACCTACAAGCATTTTACAGGCATTTTCTTGAATTGTTTAAAAGCATATTTCAATTTTTTAAAGTGAGTTCTATGATACTTATTATGATTATTCTCTTATGATAGCTAACACTACTGTTTCAATTTACTCTTCCTATGCATATGCATTCCCTTTGATGTTGCCATTAAGACTTAGATATTTTTTTTTTGCATTTTTGATAGAGAACATTTACATTTTTTATTAGTACAATAGCTTCCCTTAAATGATACAAACTCTATTTACCACATAGGGATTCTGCCACCAGCACACCTTCCCTCCCACATTTGATCTATATAGGCATTACTTGCTATGAGGCTGGTTTTTTTTTCATCATATATCTTCGTTATAGTTAGGAGCTAGCAGTGACCAGGTATAAGTACCCTCAGGTGTAATCCAATTGCACAAATAAAGATTCATGCCACATTTCCAGAATAAGCTTAAGAACCAATGGCTACAGTCAAGCAGCCTAATGACATACAAAATAAAATGGAAGACAACTACATTTTACTTAATCTATAGTGTATTTTGTAGAGACATGAATTGGAAATTATTACACAGGCATGGCATTTTCATTATAAAACCCTATTATCAGGAGTTCATTTAATTTACCATGAAGCTTTTGCTCCACAGTAAAACAAGATGGGAACTTTAAGTGGAAGAAAAGAATGTCTCCATATGTGGCATAGAAGAAAAGAAAGAAAGAATCAATTAACAACTATAGACCCCAATTGAATTTATATACACATGGAGCTCAGAATATTAATGGACTATTTTAAAGTGGGGAATAAATATAAGATGCTATAATATACTTTTTTGTAAATATGGATTTATAGTCAGATTAAGTGAGTTGGAATTTATGCAACACGTTAATATTTTAGAAATAATCATGGAATTATAAATCAAACAGTCCAAATTTGTGCTAAGAAATGTTTCTAAGTTTTTAAACTTCTGCTTGAAGTTCAATGAGAGAAAATTTTAGATTTTTAAACTATTGTGAAACTATTCTTACCATAAATGTGTTTCTCCCAATAAATAACCAGAAGAACACTCTGGAAACTGTACATATAGTTCTCCAAGCTAACATAGAATAAATATTAAGTCTAAATTCTACTAAATCTCTTAATCTTAATGAGCTAACGTGGCATAATAGGGATGTGAAAAATGCATGGACACTTTGTTTTGGATGTTCCATTCCCAGATACATTTTGGGCACAGTACAAAATGGGGCTGATTTGATCTGAACAATTTGGGGAGAAAATGTGAATTGGAAGCTGAGGGGATGCAAGGTGAGAGGGAGAACAAAAGGAAATTCCTGGGAAGACACGTGAAAGGGTAGAGTGAAGGGATAAGGTTGCCCTGAGTCACAGCCTATTGTCAATGAAGGAACAATAGTGAGAACAAAACAGGGCAGATTAGTTTGCTGATGGGATATGTTGTACTTGAAAAAGGAACATNTTGCAGTGCACATTCCTAGATAAAACTGAAAGTACATGCAAGCAAGATGTGCTAATAGTGGTTGGAGAACTAGAATGCTGGAAATGAAAATAGAAATATGAGTTTGTGCGCGCATGCACCATCCCTGCATACTCACGGCTCCAAAACCACAGTAATATAGGACGAAATAGCACCAAGGCGTGCTGGTCAGAACTACTGGTTCGCCCAAACTGGTCCGAACAGGCAGCCCACCACTAAGTCCAACCTTTTCCTTCTTATGATTTCCATTTTCATTTCCAGCATTCTAGTTCTCCAACCACTATTAGCACATCTTGCTTGCATGTACTTTCAGTTTTATCTAGGAATGTGCACTGCAATCCCATCCAGATGAATCATGGAAGGGCTAAACATAGCGGGATGAGGAATGAAACCCGTAACTATTCACTAGAGTTGAATCTAAGTTGGTTCCTCCCCATCCAGGCCTTCATAGCTTTCAGCTGGAATGGGACAACTTGGCGCAGCCACCTAGCCATGGCCAATTTACCACAGAAGTAAAAACCGGACACAATTGGGCTTTTACTCTTCCTCGTTTAAAAATCTGCTGCCTATTTACTATAGCTGGTATATAAACTTGCTTCAATGTTTCTCATCCAAACATGTGTAAAACCGCAAACATTTCCTAATCCATATTCTTAATGGGAATATGTTAGGCCACACAGGAAACGGCATTCATTTTATGGATGACTAGCTCTTAGCCATGCTGATTCAGGCACTATTAGAATGTGATTTTGCCAGAGAACAAAGATTTAGAATACCCTCTGCTCAACAGCAACAACAAAAATGTATCCCTCTTATCTATTGCTGCATGAGCTGATGTTGGTATTGTGATATTCATTGAAATAAATATTGTTCCTCTGGAAACACCTAGGCATACCTGTGAAATTCCTGCATCCCTCACATTGCGTGAAAAAACTGTTATCTTAATCAAAATTCTACCTAACCCACATTTCTCTTTCTCTTTAAATGCTAATTGTTTGATGTTATAGGGAAAAACAAGAGCTTTGCAATCTTGTTTCTGCCCAATCACATTTATTTATGCATTTACTTACCTACTTACTTAATTTCATTGATTTGGAGGCCACTTCCTCATTCCACACAACTCTGGGTGCTCAAAACTAAAGAATAAGAAACAATATACTGGTACCTAGGAACAAAAAGACTACACAACCATCCAACCAACACTCAAACATCCCGTTGCCCCAAAGGCTGCAAGAATAGTCATATCATTATTGATGAACAGGTGATCAGAATGGCAGCTACCCAGATCTCTGGAGGGATATTATACTGGGGATTAAGCAGTAACCCTGCTTAGGGGTTGGCAGAGAAGACAAGCTTTCTGACTCTAATTAGCTAAAACTGTTATGTTGTTGGTTTGCGCTCTGAGCTTGGTTTCTGGGCTACTGAGCTTGGTTTTGGGCTACTGTGAGGTTGTGTAGGTGCAGCAATCAGACAAAAGCAACCAGGTGTGTGTCTTTGTGTGTGTGTGTGTGTGTGTGTGTGTACTTATTTCCAAGCCTAGACAAGTTCATGCCAGTAACTGTTGAACTATCTACTGTTAAGGATTCAGGAATTGTAGCCTTTCTTGTATTAGCACCTAAAGAACATATGTATTGTGGCAAAATGCTTTGCTGATTTTTTTATTCATTTGCTAGAACATGTTAAATCTTCTAATGAAGTCTAGTTTTATTATTTCACAAGGATCTTTTCCCCATGATTTATCAACTAGAGGATAGTGAGAGTGTCCTGGAGAATTAAATGTCTTCTCAATAGGTATTGTCATTTCTGCTGCCAGATTTATATCTAATTATTATTTTACATCAAGGTAAGCCTCTTCACTCAGACAGCATAGTGGTTGATAGTTTACGGTACACATTGATAGTTTATGGTATACATTAGATTGATACATGATCATTGTTTTGCTTATTGAAACATAAACATTTCTAACATCAAAGTATTTGACATAAAAAGAGGAGCACAATCGTAGGGCATTTAGCTTTACATCAAAAATAATAGAAAAAACAATGCAGCCTTAAATTATTCGGTATCTCCAGTAATTGTAGCGCATTCATTTAAATAATTGAGAATAATTTTGATATATGTTATAGTCCTACTCAAATGCCAAGGCAGAAAATTCAAATCTTACACTGCCATCATGTGGAAAAAATAGAAACATCAGGCTATTAGACATACCGTAGTTGCAATCCATGGCAGAGAGACTATGATGGATCTAGAAAAAATATTAAAGTTCAGAGACATCACACTGACAACATTGATACATTCTGTCAATGCTATGGTTTCTATTTGTAGGATATGGCTATAAGAGCTGGATCATCAGCAAAACTAAGCAAAGAAAAATTTAAACCATTAAATTGTGAAGTTGAAAATTACTGAGAACTCCTTGGACCAAAAGAAGAACAAGTATTTCAATGTTCCTCACTGAAATCACTAATAATAAAGTTTCAGCTGAAATATTTTGAACATAGAATTGTGAAGACTAAAGTCATTAGAGGAGACCTTTAACTCGGTAAACCAATAGGCAATAGAAAAAGAGTCTAATAGAAAATAAGGTAGTTAGATACCATCTCTGAGAATATAAGTATAAATTTACAAAAAAGAAATGCCTGCTAGGTTACAGAATTGAAAGCATCCAAACAACCAAACCAAAGTTGCAGAAGAGATTCTGGAGGAATTTTACGGTCAAATTAAACAACATATATCTGCATTTTACATTAATGTAAACAACTTTGGATGATTGATGGTCTGATCGGCAACTGTTTTGAATGAGGGATTAGCTCGTTCATCTACTGCCATGGCAATGATAAAAAATAACTGTCTCTAAAATCCTTATTTATCAAGTGAGAGAATCAGCTACAAGGGAGAGAAGGAGCTATTAGTGCCATCGTCAAAACCCACAGCGCTTCTTCTCTTACAGAGATTTTGATAGGAGGGAAAGATTGTTTTGAAATCATATTGTGAGTTAAAGTTGCACGATTCTAATCTGGATTCCCACCCTCTGGTGCTACTGCAAAATGTATGTTTGTGTTGTGTTGTATTTCATGTTATAATTAGCAGGTATTTATTATAGACCAGTTGGGACTCTCTAGAAAACTAATTAGCAGATTTTTTTTTAATGCTGGCTGGCTCCTGTACAAAGGAGGAAGCCATCCAGAGAGTGCAGCCTTAAATTCAGGGCCATGAGTCCTCCACCTCAGAGGTGATCTTCCTGCTGAGCAGTGAGGCCAGGGTGATTCTATGGTAGGCTGCTGAAGCAGGGCAGGCCGATCAGGAGTCCAGCTACCATGGAGGTGGCATTGAATGGTGGGAGCACTTGTACCATATGGCCAACATAGCCCCCCACTGTGTTGTTTGAGGCTGGCCAGCAGAGGGGAGGGGAGGCAAAAAATAGGATGAAGGACAGCTGGTGGTGGCAGCAACAGAGGGGTGGCAGGAGATAAGAGGTGAAATACAGTGGCTTCTTCATGTCAGCCATGCTTCGCAAAGTGGCCAAAAGGACAGAGATGGTAGGAGATAGGAAAGTGGGGGGAATTAAAGCAGACACAATTTGAGCAGAGGCAGGAAAATATGACTGTGAGATGCTGCTGAAATTTTGATCATATGACAGCAGGGACACTACGATAGTCATAAGGTTCGAGGTTCGAGGTTCGTTTTATTTATATGCCGCCCTATTCCCAGCGGGACTCAGGGCGGCGCACAAACCCAAGGCGGGGGGGAGGGAAAACACAAAAACTACAATAAGGGAAAGAACCAATCATAAGTTCATTCTTTTCAGTCTTGTCGTAACTTTGAACAGTCACTGAACAAATGGACATAGCCCAAGGACTAGTTGTAATTTGTCCTGATAAAACTCACTATTGTAGGAAGTTAAAACCCACCCCTCTTCTAGAAAAATAAAATATGCTGGGAAATATTGAAAAGGCAGAATATTATATTTCCCTGGATAAGAAATGGAGAAACATGTTTTAGGCAGGAAACAGACTCACTCTTAATAGGCTTTTCAATGGCTCATTAACCTTTGTCATTGAGCCATTAAAGCCTGAGTTAGTCTACTCTACACAACAAAGGTAGGATTAGCCCTCTACAGAAACTCACACAAGGCACCTGGGAAAATTACATCAGCCAGCAAGGCAACCAAACTTGGACTCAAAACACAGCCTAAAGAGTTGCCCTGCATGGGCACATGGGTGTCTGACAACCAATGAGAATACAAGATCAAAGGCCAGAGAGGGCATAAAGCCAGGAACTTTCAGCATGTCGGTCTCTTTTTCTTCTTCACCCAACATCTTGAAGCATGTGATCCCCTTTTCTGTTAAGGAGCTCAAGCCATGTGATCCTGTCCACCATTAAACTATCTTTCCAAGCAGCCTCCATGTTTCCAGTGCCTTTTTCCTCACTTGGAACTGAGGACATTTCTTCCAACACTATCACATGAGCTTTGGCAAATAAGAATTTATGTCCTGAGATACATAAAATACTGAGAACTCAGTAGGTAGGCAGAGTGTAAAACAAATTAATAAGGCGTTAAACACAGCAACATTATAGAGAACATCCTGCTAAGGTGATGAAAAATAATGACCATAATACATGGTTGCAACTTATTTTCTTTATATGATACTGAGATGATGAGAATTCAAGATTATCTTAATTAAACAACTATTTAATAAGAGGTTGAAGCTTCAGAGCCTAGGTACACAAAATGCTGAAATGAATGTTAACCCTTATTCTTTATCATTAGTCTAGCCATTGTCTACTCACTACAGGATGAACGCCTCTTCTGCACATTTCCAACCAGTAGAGTCTTGAGCTTTCCTTTGCCAATTGCTGATGTCGCTCGATTCTGTTTTAGGTCTTTCATGGATGTGCAGGTCTTTCTATCTTGTCTTGCAATGCCAAGCGTGTATCATTCCATGGCTCTTTGCACCACTCGTTGCTTTTGTATTGATTGTGAGGTTAGTGACCCCATTGTGCTGGCATATGTTATTCCCTTATCTTCGCTTATCTGTATGTAACCAAGTAATTCTAAACTTGTGACTGGTTGATATCCAATGGGGGTTTACCAATTTCCAGTTTGTGCAGACATCTGGTAGAATTCTGCCTAACCATGACTGCAAACTAGAGAAAGAATTTGTCCTGATATTTTGGATTTTGTTGTGAGTTTTCTTCCTATTATATAACCAGGCCTTTATGTAGGCATAAAGAATAGTCCTTTTTAGTGAATTAGGTACTTAGTAGAAGAAAGCAAACAGCATTTTTAGTTCCTGTAAAACCACAAGTGTTAAAATTCTGCCCGCCCTTTTTAATGTAGGCTTTCATCCTCCCTAACCCATTTAATCTTTGTGAAAAATGAAGCTCTTATTTATGTTTTCATCAATCTGGTTTCCCTTTAAGAACAGATGTGGAGACGCAAAGAAGTATTGGACAAAAATTAAGACATGGTTGGAAGAGATGATACAACAACGTATTGAACTGAAGCCAGAAACATTTCTGCTAGGAATTCTACCTGAAATTTATAATAAAGAGAATGTATATTTAATCATTCATGTATTAACCGCAGCTAGAATTGTATTTGCACAACATTGGAAAAGTGTAGATTCTGAGAAGGTGATGAGGAAAATATTAGAATGTGCAGAAATGAACAGATTACCATTAGAAATTAGGGAGAAAGAGCAAATTGAATATTATATGATTTGGGAAGTACTGGTATTTTACCAATGGTTGGATTTAAAAAAAGGAATTTGGAAATGAAGAAAGCTAAAAAATAAGTAGATAATAAACTTAGATAGATATATAAATAAGATGAAAATTGTTAGTATGTATATGATGAGAATAATGGTGTTTAATGTTGTTATGATATTATTACCAGAAGATATTAAGAAGAAAAATGGAGAGTTCCATAACGTTTAAATGCTCAATATACTATAATGCTAAACTTAGGGAAATAATGTTAATATGAACGAGAAAGATGTGGCAAAAGTGGAACAATGTTGCACAGAGATGTTTGTACCCAGACGACATAAGGAAAGATGGAATGTTTATTTTTGTAACTAAAAAATAATAAAACTCTTTTTAAAAAAGAACAGATGGGTTTATTGATTCATTTATACATTTGTGTTCCATCTTATTTTTTATAAATAACTCAAAGTGGCAAACATACCTACCGTAATACTTCTTCCTCCTATTTTCCCCACAATAGCAATAGCAGTTAGACTTATATACCGCTTCATAGGGCTTTCAGCCCTAAACGGTTTACAGAGTCAGCATATTGCCCCCAACAATCCGGGTCCTCATTTTACTCACCTCGGAAGCATGGAAGGCTGAGTCAACCCTGAGCCGGTGAGATTTGAACAGATTTGAACAGCCGAACTGCAGAACTGCAGTCAGCTGAAGTAGCCTGCAGTGCTGCATTTAACCACTGTGAGATAGGTTGGGCTGAGAGAGTGACTAGCCCAAAGTTACTCAGCCAGCTTTTGTTAGCGATCTATTTATTTATTGTTATTTATTTATCAAATTTAGAGACTACCATCTCATTCTTAGGGCAACCCATACTCTTTTTTTGTTTCCATAGCTGCCCTGACCAAAATTGGTCTAGCTTTTTACATTTACAGAAATGCATTTTGCTGGGCCCGAGGGCCTATTCCTATCCCAAACTATAAAGATTTCCCCTCTATTACTCTCCCCCCTACCCCTTCCTCTTCCTTTAACTTTCGGTT